ATAAACCAAAACATGTATTACTCCTTTCTTTCCAACAAAAGAAAATAAGGAGTAATCAGGAACAAATTGGACAAACCCATAGCGTTTCAAGGCTCCAGACAACTTGGCAAACCAAGACCTTGGAGCTTGTTTCAAGCCATACCGAGACTTCTTGAGTTTGCACACCACATTAGACGAATTCGAGAAACTAGGTGGCAATCTCATATACACCTCATCCTGAAGATCTCCATGTAGGAATGCGTTATGAAAATCCATCTGATGCAATTCCCACCCCTTAAGTGCAGCAACTGCTAAAAGTATTCTCACAGTGGTCAACTTAACTACAGGAGCAAATGTTTCTTTGTAGTCAAGTCCTTCAACCTGATGAATGCCAAGTATAACCAGTCTGGCCTTATATATCTCCACACTTCCATCGGACTTGCGTTTGATTTTAAACACTCGTTTGCAACCAAGGGGCTTTTTATGACGTGGAGGATAGACAAGAGACCATGTCCCATTAGCCTCCAGTGCATCAATCTCCTCTTTCATAGCCTTCCTCCATCGTTCATCCTGGAATGCCTTCTTAAAACTCGTGGGCTGCACTCCAGCATCAAGTGCACTGAGAAAACACTTGTATCTGTCAGAGAACTTCTCGTGTGTGACATACGAGGCAAGAGAATATTTGCATTTTTCACCAACATATGAACCAGCTACATGGGTAACATAATCGGCAAGGCGTACATTTGGACGTTTCTCACGCTGACCACGTCCCAATTTTTCCACCGCCTGCTCGGAAGAGGACGGTCGACCGCCGTCCGTGGAACGGTCCGACCGTCTGAAGCTGTTCCGGATCACTAACTTTCTGCCTCGGAGACGGTCGACTGTTTTCCACATCATGGTCGGCCGTTTGATCATCTCCTAAAGAACCGTCATTCTGCCTTTAGGATGGTCGACCGTGGATATCACGATGATCCACCAGGTCGACCGTTTGATCATCTCTCAGGAACCCGTCATTCTGCCTCTCGGACGGTCGACCGTGGTCATCCGAACGGTCCATCTGATCGACCGTCTATAGCCTGTCTGCTCTGCCAATTTCCTCCGGTCGACCATTCCTCATGGAGCGGTTTGCCTGCTCTTCCGCGGGCGTCTCTTCATCATCTACAAAGTGGTCGATCGAAAGAGAACTACTCAATCCACTCTCATCTGGGATTTCACCTGCGAAAATCAAGTAAGGAAAAATGTCTTCACATAATACAACATCTCGTGACACACTGATCTTCCCAGTGTCCGGGAAATACACGCGCCAGCCCTTGATTCCTTGTGGGTATCCCAAAAATATTCCAGGAATACTTTTGGGTGCAAATTTACCTCCATCTCTTCTCAAATTGTGTACATAACATCTGCAACCAAAGACACGTATGTGAGTCCGCGTAGGGACCGTTCCATAAAGCATTTAATACGGCGTAACCCCTCCTAGCAATGAAGAGGGTGTGCGGTTGATCAAATACGACGTAGTTTGTATACAATATCCCCAAAATTCAATAGGGAGCCCTGTCTGAAATCTTAGAGCTCGACCCACATTCAGAATATGACGATGTTTGCGTTCCACTCTTCCATTCTGCTGCGGTGTAGACACACAAGATGTCTCACGAATAATTTCTTTTTCCAGAAAATATTCATTCAAGCATTCAAATTCTGTGCCATTGTCACTGCGAACACACTTTATTTTCTTCTCAAACTGACGTTCAACCATGGCACAGAATTGCTTTAAAACACTTCCTACTATCCGCTCGAATCAAGTAAATATACCCACACACCGCGAGAAAAGTCATCCACAATGGTCAAAAACATGGTAGAACCATCCAAACTCGGCATCCGATAAAGACCCCACAAATCACAATGCACCATATCAAATTTATCCAAAGATTGATAGAAACTGATGGGAAAACTAGCACGAGTTTGTTTAGCACGTAAACAAACATCACAATGACTTTGGCTACTTTTATTTAAACCGATTTCACGAACTAAGGACATAACATGCGAAGAAGGATGTCCTAAACGCTTGTGCCAAAGATCAAAGGAATTCACCTTCTTTGCACTTCACGCCATGCTTCTTTCCTCCTTCTTCAAATAATACAATCCCCCTTCATGTCTCCCTACACCAATCGTTATCCTCAAATTCATGTCCTGTAATAAGCATACATCATTGGTGAACTTTGCCTCACAGTTCAAATCCCTCGTCAGCTGTGAGACAGAGATCAAATGGCACTTCAAAGTTGGAACAAACAACACATTCTGCAATGTCATAGTTCTTGTCAAATCAACCTTTCCAGATTGAACAGACACTACCCGTTTTCCATCAGGTAACCCAATTTCACACGGAGTCACGCCCACCACATCATACAATAACGAAAGATCACCTGTCATATGATTTGATGCACCCGTATCGATAATCCAACGTGGTGACACGAAAATATCTGTAAGTTTCTGATTGATGTCTGTAGGAGATAGTGCACGAGCGTGACGAACAGCGTTCCACTGCTTCACAATCAGATCCTCGAAATTGGGCAACGTTGAATATCCCTTTCTCTTCTTCCTCATTTTTCTTGTTGAAGATATTCTTCATGGATGCCTCTTTAGACATAACGGACAACACAGGCTAATAATTGATCGAACAGCTTCAGCAACTGAAGAAACTGCCGTCGGGACGGTCGACGCCTTCGACCGTTCTTATCCCTACGGTCGACCGTTCCGGTCTTTTGGCAGCAACACGAAGTGACGACCGCTGGACGCGATGCCGGGCGATCGGTGCACAGTAGCCGCAGAAATCCTCTAGGGTTTTGGCTCCGATACAATGAAAGAATTATTTTGGAGGAAATTCTCTGTATATTTCTCTCTTTACAATTTACAATGAAGCCATATATATATATATATATATATATATATATATATATATATATATAGGATCTCACAAGTTGAGATTCCTAATTAGTAAAGGAAAAGGAAAAGGAAAGAATCCCTATACAAGGAAAACTACCAAAATAATATATACACAAATATCTCCAAATATTCTTTTCCTTTAACAGGAAGATTATTTATTTACTTGTTTTTATTTATTTATGGAATAAATAATTATTTTTTATTCATTCAAAAAAATATATTGTCAAATAGTGTCCCACATAAAAACTTATAGAAAAAAATAAATCACTGTATAAGCTCATGAGGTTAATTAAGTAATCAATTGAAACCCACCTATCTATGTTGTACATACTTTGAATCATTCTCCAAAAAGGTGAAATCGCTCACCCCGGGCGCCCCTCACCCCCGACCCGACGGGAATGTGAGAGGAGGTAAATCACGGTGATCCAAGCAACAACACTTAGCTAGACCATATCCTAGTGCGCACCAGAGACTCCCCCCATTTTTCAGAGGTGGTCGCCTCCACAACGGTCGCTGCCAGGTTTCAATCCTTGGTCATTCTCCAAACTTCACCAAGTGCTTGCCACTTGGGCTACCCGTGCGGGTTTAATTGTGGTAGGGTAAACTTTTTATAGTGACTAGCCCCACCGCTTTCGCGGCCCCATACCCCAGAAACCCAACTTTGGCTTGGCCCTACGGGTTAGTATACACCGCTTGGCCCTACCACTTGAAGGGTTTTTTGGGGAGGCATAGTTCCACTAGCGCAGAGTGGGACTCGAACTCGAGACCTCTCCTCTGGAAGGGTAACTCCACAACCTTATTGCCGTAAAAGTTTACTCACGAGGTGTTACCAAATCTCTCAAAATCACGTCTCTCTCTACCTTTCCTAAATCTTGATCTCTCGAAATTACTTCTTGTTCTTCACCTGATCTTTTGTGTGGTGCGATCAATCCCAACAATTTTGTGTCAATGTAAATCATCAATCTCACACTTATTCCTAAAATAATTCAATTAGCATAATAATATTTTCTCAAAAACTGTATAACAATTTACTATTTAAAAATCATACGAACTTTTTTTATTTATATATTTTAATTGACTCTTTGATAAAAAATGTCACCTCTTGTTTTAAAAAACTCTTGGCGTAATTTTGAAATATGTAAATTATTTTTTTATTTCTATACCAATCTTTATATAAAATGAATTGAAAAAACTTAAAATTTTATTTCATTTTGTATAATGTGACAAACATTTCAGAATTGGGGAGTAATAAACAAATTAAATTTCCATATTCTGATCTCAATAAATTTACACTTACCTTCAAAGTTCAAGAAAAACAATACAAAGTACATAGAATAATAGACAATCCGAGTAGAACTGGCAAAACGGTCGGTCAGGTCGGATTCGAGTTCGGTATTATCGGGTTCGGGTTATTTCGGGTTCGGGTCACTTCGGGTTCGAGTCTAAGAATGCTTGTTCTTGACCCAGAGCTATCTGGTTTGGGTTGACCAAACGGGTTAAGAGACGTATTTAGAAATTGAAAATTTTCCACTTAGAGATGAAGTGATCAATGCATTTTTCAAAACAAAGAAAAAAACTCATTCAAAACATCAACAAAAAAGTAAACATAGCAAAAAATTCTAAACATCATCATGTCCCAAACGAACCATCCAAGCACACTAATCAAAATGCTATATAATTTAGAGTTCAAACAAAATGGTTAAAAGTCCCATCTCAAGCGAAGTCATCTCCCATCTCAATTTGATGTTTATCACGACTAGAACGTCTGAAATCCAACTCAATGCCTTCTTCAAGTTTGTCACATATCTACATATTAATACAATAACACATGTATGTGCCAGCATGCTAATTGCCAACAAACAACAATATGTGGAGAATTAAGCTAGGGGTACACCTACATGGGGTACCTCAAGTGTACACCAAAGCCAACACAGACACACACAGACATTTTGTGTCTGTGTGTGTCTGTGTTGGCTTGGTGTACACTTGGGGTACCCCATATTGGTGTACCCCTAGCATTGCCCATATGTGGACTTGCGAAGTAATGAAGTATATATGCTACTCTAGGAGTCCAGGACAAACCAATACTCCGTAAATAGAAGAAAAAAAAACAGATTAAACAATACTCTGTAAATAGAAAACACAGATTTTATGAATTCCTGGGTTGATTTTATCGGCTACCTCAATTTTACCCTAATTTATTCCGGAAAATTCTTTTTTTCATGAATTCGTGGGTTGATTGATACCAATCTGCTTCCTTCAATTAATTGAAATAATAAAAATCATGATTCATACCTAATTTATATTCGATTAATAGCAATATTCTTTCTTCCTATTGAATGAAGGCGGATGAACGGCAACAGCCAAGGTTGGACGGACGCTGCTCCAGGTAATTTTCCCTTCAATTTTGATGCTCATATTATAATTTGGGGTTCCACTAATAATTGATTCTGAACGTGCAATCCAGTAATTTGTTTTTTGGAATTTTGATTATTTTATGCGAGTATAGTGTTATAGAGAAGATCAATTGTTATTGAAAAGTTCACATATGCAATAATCCAGCATATATTCTCTGCTGAATTTGATTTGAAATCATATTCTTCATAAACTCTGTATATTCTCTGTAAAATTATCTCATTAATAAAAAAGCATTTTATATGTGGAAAATATCATGCAAAGATGAGTTTTTCTGTCTAAATTTGAAAAATAGACATGAGTGTTTTTGAAGGATACTTATTGATTAGTTACTTTTATCAAAAGAAAAGACATAAATTGGCATAATAGAAATATTAGGAAAAGATGTGATTGGTATGTTTTCTTTTCTATTGTAATCCGTAGGGTGTTCTATTATTTGAAGGTGATGTTTCTCAACACTTTCGATTTCATTGAGTTTAATTTTCTTCTAATTAAGGTTTATTTTACCCTTGCTTTTACGGAATCGACATGGTTTATTTGCTCTCATTATGGGTTGGCAGCTTATGAATACAAGGGTGATCTATTTTATGGAAATATTTGAGTCATCTTGATCAGTTTGGCTATTTGGAAAGTTTAGTTTTTTTGGAGAGGCATTGAGGCTTATCTCTACATGATTTTCAAAGGGGCTAGACATTTTTGCTCTTTTACTTTATGTTTTTATTGTATTACTTTGGCCTTTATCTCCCTGTTTGCATTGTGAAGTTAGCAGGATGATTGTTTTTAGCCTTCTATGATTCTGGTGGTGTGTCCTATGGCTGATCCTCCTGCATCATCACACACAAAATAATTGCCCTGAGTTGATCCGTTTAGAAATTGAAGCATTGAACTTTGAACTTCCTTTTTATCTTCTTTCTTCAAACAACTATTATGGTTGTAAACGATTGGCAAGAACCTCTGATGCCACATCGTACCACGCCACCATGTTCAAAGTTCAATACTTCAATTTTCTTCTCCGTCCAGGTTATTGGCTAAATGGACAAAGATCTACAAATTAGTGATGTAGAATTTTGAGAAGAGGAGACATGGAGATTAAACCGAGAAGACTAGCAAATTTAAAGAGGATAGAGACATAACTAGGACATAGTAGAAGTGATCGATGAGGAACGGAGGATAACGACAAAGGAGCGATCACTTGGAGCCAAACCAACGGTGAAACCAAGGGCCGTGATGAAAGCCTAGCCGCTAAATGTTTTCTCGCGGAACCTCTACAAGTACTGGTGCAACCCTTCTCCCTTGTTGGATGCATTACAGATTCTGCCGCCATCCATGAAATTCTGACCCCGCTGCAGCCAGCAAATTTGTTTCCCACTTGCATTGTATTCATAGTAAGATTCTCTACTTCATTTGAATAAGATCCTAAGACAATTTCATCAATTATTTACAAAGTATGATTTAAGGTTCCAATTTCAGCCCAAGGTTTTGCTTAATCTTAGAAAATATATTTTAGATTTTATACCTCTATGAATAGAAATCTATAGAGTGTGAATTTTGCTAAATTGATTTCATGTATATGTTGTGATAGAAAAAAAGTTCATGAATGTTTGTCTTTAAGTCTTTAAACATTTTTCAACTTAGAGTACTACGAAGTATTAAGTTATTGATGGCTCTATAAATTATTATATAAAAGTGTTAGTTTATATGTTAAATAAATTGAAAATACTTTCCTAATTCATTAAGCTTTGAAGTTTGCAGAATGTTGTAGAATACCCTTCCTCAAAACATGAAGTCATTTGAGGTAGAAGTTCTCTATTTTACTTTTTTATAGTATATTCAATTTGGCTATCCTTACATTACATATATGATCAAAGGTTCTTTTTGTTTTTAATTGTTCCAGGGTGTTTGTTTTTGTAACAAAAATGCCCAAAGAGGTGAAAAATTAGTCCCTAAAGTGTGACTCTACATGTTTTAGAAGGTGCTCTAGATCATTAAAAATACTTAACAGGTGTCTTGCTTTTACTTGCAGCATAAATAAGAATTATGTTGAAACTAAGCTTGGGAGAAAAATACGACAGATGGGAGAACTTGCAGGAGTCCTAAATATAATGTAGAAGAAGCCATCAATAAAAAACGAGGTGAAGTTATGCTGATAAAAAAGCCATCAACAATAATCTCCGTCCAGGTATACTTTAAAATGCAGCATACCTGGCTTCACACACTAAAGTCTTTTTGCTAATTTTGTAATTTGTTTTGGTTGTTGTTGGCCGATATGAGATTGCTTAATTGCTTTCTATTCTTCTAGGTATCCTTTAAAGAAGGCTGAGGCATATGCTAAATTGATAAAGTATACATTCTTTTTCTCTTCTTAATTTTACTCTTCATTGTATTTACATTTTGGCATGGTGTTATGTTGGGCCGTGTTCCTTGGACCACAAGACAAGAAGGAAAGCAAATCCCATTCTAAGTGGGATTGCTCTTGATTTGTTTCCTAGTTCATATTTAGTGATTTGTTTCCATGTAGGAGTAGAATTCCTTTTGTGGTTTGGTATTTTTTCTCTCATATAAATAAAGGAGAAACCCCTTGTAATTGGTAGAACAATTCAATATACAAACTATTTTCTCTCTTATTAATTTCTACATGGTATCAGAGCCAAGTTCCTAGGGAAAACCCTAATCTAGACAAACGATGGTCCATCACTGTCCTCCGCCGGTTCAAGCCTGTCTTCTGCCGGATCACCGACCTCGACCGCCGAACTATCCTCCTCGACCGTCGACATGGCAGAAGTAGAAGAAAATCTTGTTGGCAAGCTCTTCAATGAGGAAGAGAAGATCCCTACGAAGGGAAATTCTTACGAACTCAAGAACGCAGACACACCTGGATTAATTATCACCCAAGTCAAACTAAACGGTGATAATTATGAAGAATGGGCTCGTGCAATGAGAAACGCATTCACACCTGGATTGTGAATGCCATGTTGGTCTCATGGATTTACAACACAATTGATGGCAGCCTGAGAAACTCCATCACACAAGTAGAAGAAGCAGCAGAACTATGGAAGTGTAACGACCCGAAATAGGACATCCAAGATCGTTTTTCTGTTGCAAACGGTCCTCGAATTCATCAACTGAAGAAGGAACTTGCAAATTGCAAGCAAAACGGTCAGTCCATCGTTACGTACTTTGGAAAATTAAAAATCATATGGGACGAACTCGGCGATCATGAAAAAATCCCCGGGCCATGGATGCAAGTGTGGGATAAGCAAAGTGCTTGCCATCCAACGCGACAAAGAAAAGGTTCACCAATTTCTGATGGGATTGGATAACGAAGGATATGGGAGTCTACGATCTAACATCATTGCCACAGAACCCTTGCCACCTCTGAATCGCGTATACTCCACCATTATCCAGCAGGAAGGGGTCTTGAAGACTACTCAAGAAGAGGAACGTAACCCGGTGGGCTTTGTCGTCACCTCCAAATTTGATCGTGACGCAACTAAGGATTTAAAATGCAAACATTGTGAGTTGAGCGGACACGAGAAGAGTGGTTGCTTTCAACTCATTGGATATCCTGAATGGTGGGGAGATCGCCCACGTATCCTGAACCCGGGACGAGGTAATGGCCGCGGCAACAACACAGGAGGACGGCGCGGCGGCAACGCTGGCCGAGGTAACCGCGGCGGAGCTGGTGGCGGTCCAGCAGGCGGACCGGCGGCACACACGGCTCAGGCCAACGCAACAGATGGGGGACGTGCGCTCCATCAACCAAATCTCCCTTCTCTCACAACCAATCAATGGAATGCACTCATGGGACTCTTAAACGAGAAAGATTCGGGTATGGAAAGTAAATTTTCAGGTATGACTAACACTTCTTGGATCATTGATAGTGGAGCGAGTCAACATATGACCGGTGATAAGAAGTGTCTTGAAAATTTGGAAGCAATAAAACCTTGCTCAGTTGGCCTACCGAATGGAGATTGTGTGATAGCCAACCAAAAGGGGAGTGTGATTGTGGATAATTTGATCACCTTAGAAAATGTTTTGCTAGTTCCTCAACTCAACTGCAATCTTATATCTGTCTCACAACTTCTTGAGAAAAAGAATTTAATTGTCAAGTTTAATAATAAAATTTGTCTTATATAGGACTGTATCTCGAAGATGGTGATTGGAATGGGTGAGCAGGCTGAAGGACTATATTATCTCAAGAAAGGTGTGAAGGACAAAGTCTGCACTGTGAAGGAGGCGAAGGATCTTGACATTTGGCACAAGCGCTTGGGTCATCCCTCCTACACCGCTGTCAACACTTTTCTCCATTTACCCAAAAATATCAATATCCCTGATTCCCCTTGTGATGTGTGTTTTCGTTCAAAACAATGTCATGACTCTTTTCCAATTAGTCTGAATAAATCTATTACTCCTTTTTCCTTGATTCACTGTGATTTATGGGGTGGGTACCGTACTCCGTCTCGCACTGGGGCTAGATATTTCTTAACTATTGTTGATGATTTCTCTCGGGCAACTTGGGTGTATCTATTCAATCACAAATATGAAGCCCCTACTGTCTTGCATAATTTCTTTTCCATGATTGAGCGACAATTCAATAAACAAGTGAAAACTGTACGAAGTGACAATGGTACAGAGTTCACTTGTTTAAAATCTTTCTTTGACAATCATGGGATTATTTTTGAATCCTCTTGCGTCGGTACCCCACAACAAAATGGTCGAGTCGAACGAAAACACCGTCACATTCTCAACATTGCCTGAGCCCTTCGCTTCCAAGCCAACCTACCCCTTAAATTCTGGGGTGATTGTATTCTCACCGCTGCCTATCTAATTAACCGAACACCCTCTGAGCTACACAAAGGCAAAACCCCATATTCCATGATCTATGAAAAAACGCCCTCATATAGTCATATCCAGGTTTTCGGATGCCTTGCATATGCCCACAATCAATCCCACCATGGAGATAAATTTGAGTCCCGTTCTCGACGCTGTGTTTTCCTTGGCTATCCATTCGGCCAAAAAGGATGGCGCCTTCTCGATTTGGACAATAATAAAATATTTGTCAGTCGAGATGTCAAGTTCTTTGAAAACCATTTTCCTTTCCATTCACAAAATACTCCCAATCTCACAGAACCCGAACCCACTGCTGATTTTTTTGAGGAAGAAATACCCAGTGAAGAATCTGCCACCAAAACGGTCGACAAGACCGATCGCCCAGCAACCCACGGTCGACCGTCTCCCTCTGGACCTGACACTGCCACCCAGACGGTCGAAACACTGGACCGTTCTCAGGACCCCGGTCGACCGTTACTCTAATCCAATCCAGAAAACCCTGCAACATCAGAACCAAACAGCCAACCCGATGACCCAGTCCAGCCTTCTTCTACCCTTGATAACCAAACCCTTCCAACCCAAGACACTTTGCGCCGAAGTGAAAGAGAACATCGTCCTCCTTCGCGACTGCGTGACTTTGTCACTCACACCATTCAACGTCCCTCTCCTGATTCACTCAAACCAACAACGCCTTCAGGTACAGCACACTGTATTACAAATTTTATTAACGCTGACAAATTTTCTGTTTCCCATAGATGTTTTTTGGCAGCTATAAGTGCAGATGTTGAGCCTACATTCTTTTCTGAGGCGGTCAAAAACCCGCTATGGGTACAAGCTATGAAAGAAGAAATTCAAGCATTGGAAGCTAATGGAACTTGGTCACTCGTCCCCCTACCTCCTGGAAAGAAAACAATCGGATCCAAGTGGGTCTATAAAATCAAGCACAAGTCTGATGGAAGCATTGAACGCTACAAAGCTCGTTTGGTGGTGCTTGGGAACCGACAGAAAGAGGGCATTGATTTTAAAGAGACTTTTGCCCCGACGGCTAAGTTGGTTACTGTTCGCACTCTTTTAGCTGTTGCCGCGGCCCGCAACTGGTTCCTACATCAGATGGACGTTCACAATGCATTTTTGCATGGAGACCTTCGCGATGAAATATACATGACTCTTCCTCCCGGGTTTAACGCTCGCGGTAAAGGATTGGTTTGCCGGCTTCA